GTCTCGCACAGCATTCACAGCACCTCGAAAGTCTTGGCTTACCAACATCCAAACAGACGGTCGGCTCGGATTGGATTGGATTGAATTTTGGAATAGTTTGGAGACATGGCTTCAGCAATTAGAAATGAAGCAACGACTTGCAATTTCACCGCAAAACTATTATACACTTCAGATAAACATTTTAATTCATACATTTCACCTCGAGAACCACTTCAAATCCACGAGCGGAACTCACCCTTAGCTAATTGCTACCTCTAGGTCTGACGTGCGAATCGTTCAGAGTCTGACGATTGAACAACTCCAGGGACAACTATACGACTTATACGACTTATAGTACTATTACAAATGAGAAGCAGCAGCTTCACTTTGTTAATTGTCTTTTTCCGTTCACTTGCTCATCGACAAGGGTGACCGAGAACGGTAAAAGAGAGAACAATCTCCACAGAAGAAATAAAAGCTGCTGCTCCTTTCCTGTCATTCCGATCTTTTCACAACCACAAAGAACGATTTTGCGCGCTGACTGCCAATTCTCTCCTTCCCTTTCCCCCCCCCCAAAAAAAAAAAGAAAAAAAAAAGAAAAACCTACTAGCAATTTTTTACAGAAAAAAATAAATTCACGGGCACAATACGCAGTTTAAGGTGCTGGCTTTCATGTTCACAAACAAACGCAAATTAAAAAAACAAAACAAAAACGAACCAATGCATATGTGGCCCTCAATAGACCTATTGCTAAATTACCCAAGCATCAAGGTGGATGCAGGGATTGGTGTTCCACGCGCCACACGCGCACGCCTTCCCCGTATAAAATATTTGAAGTAAATAACCAAAATAAAGCGTTGACGAACGCGTGTGCAAGAAGTCATTTGTTTTAGGGGTTTGCCTTAGAAAAGTTACTACTGCTGAGGCCAGCACGTGTGGCGGAGCGTGGAACACCAATCCCTGCATTCTCCTTGATGGTTGGGTAATTTATCAATACGTCTATTCATTCAGCTAATCATCCACAAACCAACTACCTCGTTGCCACAGACGTACACAGCCAACACAGCCGCGTACGCGTGTACTTAGGAAACCGATACGGTTTCGTACGCGCACACCCCTCCGGCCACTTCCACAAAGAATAAAAATATATACGTATAAAACAGCGTGGAAAGAAGGACTGCACTTTCGACGATGGATCTTTCTGGAAGGCATGTGATCTGCACTTGGCCTCTGGAAATTGCGAATTGGAAAAACATGCAGAAAGCAAAAAACAGGACTTTCTCGAACTTAGCTTTAATTTTGTTTCGGGAAAGGGGGGGGGGGCGGGCTCGGCTTTACATTGTTCGGCATTGTCTCGGGCTTTGCCTTAAATGACGTTATACCTTTACAAGCTCGTTTGCACCCTTTAGATTTTTTTAAATATTTTGAAAAAAAGTTTGTTTCGGTTTCGGTCGCTTGACGGCATATAGGCTTGACGGCGTCACGGAAACGATGGAGATGCCACAAATAATTTATGTGTCTTGATTAGTGCAACATTTATTAAGTTATATTATCTATTAGAACGGTCGGGAATACAAAAATAATATTTTTCTCTAGTATCTCATCTACTGAATTCACTTTTTTTTCCCATCTGCCAACACTGCGTTGGCAAGATGCTAACCTCAAATCCAAATCCAAATCCAAAAGCAAACACGCGATCCATCGCGGCCATTTTATTCGAGTTTCTTTTGTGTATCGGTTCCTAGTGTATTCCCTCGTATTCGCGTTTTCTACTGTAGTACTGTACCGCGTATTTCTGCATCTTTCCCGTGTGTTTTGTTTTTTGTACGTTTCATTCCTCGCGTCCCTCCCAGTGGGCATGTTCGCCAAAGTGAAATTTCTGCAAGATGGCAAAGTATCAATCGTCCAGACAGCTCTTGTGAAGAACTTTCATCCAGCCAACGTGGCTGACTTTGAAAGGAGGACGACTTACAAAGTATTTTGGGATGGGGACGAAAACACTCGAGGTGGATACTACGATGCAGAGATCATCAAGCTGGCGGGTGAGTGATATATCCACAATGGTGGTTCAACCCTCTAGACACTCGTTTGTATGGCAGTTATGCGAATTGTCACTGCACGTCTTGGGCGAATGCACACACGGCGGAGAGTACCGGGTCGGTCAAAAGGAGAGCAGAAAACAATATTAAGTGCATGTAATTAATTAGCGATACGTTATTTGACGTTTTAAGATGTGTTGAGCAAGTATGTTTATTGGAAGAATAAGGCTATACGCACGACGTCCTGCACCTCGACCAGAAAGGACTCGCGACGCGAAAAGTTTTGGTTCTCGTATAAAACCAGCTGTCAATACGAGATTAGCGAAGTTGCACGGAGAGACACCGTCCGTCTTTCGCGGTGAGGGCCATTGCGCACTGGCGCTCACTGCCTACTAGCCTCACCCAGTGCCCGCCCACGTCGCGTGAAGAAATGGAACTCTTCGTCGAGAGGTGGCCAGTCATCTCCGCCACTCGCTGTCATAATCCTTGTTGTATATGTGGAGTCGGGGCGGGATGGGGCGGGGGTGGCCGGTCGACGGTTCTCGGGGCGCCGCCGGCGCTGCGCTGGAGCTTGGAGCGCGCCGGACTGGGGTCGAACACATTCGAGTAGGATGTGTTCAGCCCTAGCTCGGCGGGTCCCGGGCTTTGGCATGGCTCTGGGGGCCGTCCGCCTGCTGTTCGCGTTTCTTTCCGTTTCTGACTGTGCATAGTGTTGTTGTCATTAGTGTTTATTGTTTATCTACCTCCCTCCCCCTCTTTTGTTGTTGCTGTTATTTATCTCCCCCCCCCTCTTTGTTGTTCCTAGTGTTTATTGTTCATCTACCCCCCCCCCCCTTTTTTTTAAATCTAGTTTGGGTTTTGCAGGCTGTCTGGCTGCCTTTGGCCTTTCTGCCGCACCCCCGTCTCTCCCGAGTAGAAATAAATAAAATGAAATGTAGCATAGCATAGAGGTAATGCGTCTCCCTCAGACACAGCGAACCCTGGTTCAATCCCCATTGTCAACTTACTTTTCTTTTAAATTTTTTTTTTTTTTAACATTGTGTTTTGTCGAGGCATTTAGCAATATTTACATTTCTTTTGTACGATTAACACTGAAAAAACCGAATGTTTTTGACGAAACTTCGCTCAGCTAATTGGTTTGGGACTCCCTTTCCAGAGGTGCATGGGGAACAGCGGGGCTTGGGTTGCCCGCTGGATGCTTCGAAGCGGGGTATACGGGGGGTTTAATAGTTTTATATTTAGCAGCCAGCAGTTGCATACTGTCCTTGCGAGCGGCGTGGATGCAGGGGGGGAGGGGGGGGGGTTATCCCACCCCCCCCCAGCATCCACACTGTTATCCCATCTACCTAAGTCCCTAACCACTCATGTTCATCTGTGCTGCTAAGCACAATTGAAATTGCTCCCGTGCTTGTCTAAGACACGCGCTGAAGTGCAATGAAAACTGATCTCAGCTGCTCCTAGCCTGCTCCAGAACGTAGTTTTAGCTACTCCCGACCTGCTCCAAAACAGCTGTTTCGGCTGCTCCCGTGGCTGCTCCCAAGTACATTTCATGAGTTCCACCCCTGTCTCCGTGTCGTGCGTAAAGCCACTTCCGATCAAGGTGCACGACGTTGTGCGTATAGCCTTAGTCTTATTGCAATTGTTTGTTAGTGTTCACTGAGCAGGGAGTGACGTAGATACAAGCGTTCGTCGGCATTTTTAGTACAGTTCCAATAGGTCAGTGGTCTCAAACTCGTTTGAGGGTGAGGGCCAGATAGCCCATACTGGAAAGTTGGAGGGCCTCCGTAAGACGGGGGGGGGGGGTAGGGGGGGGGTGAACATTTTAATGAGAAGAGACCTCGTGCCCTATGCTTTTTGTAAACTCACAGTTTTGCCAGTGACATTTTTAAATTTGATTTGTGTATATGACAACTTTGGGCACTGACCTGATGTGATAACAAAAATTAAAACTACACTGCCCCGCCAACGTGCTGGCATTTTTAGTAGAACAAGAGAGCAAGTAATCTATCGTTCCCAGCTCAACATGTCTTTAAAAAACAATAATTTAATTTGGCAGTTCTTGAATTCCTCACTATTTTTATTATAACACTCTGAACAAATACTCGTCTTTTATTGTGATGTTTTTTTGAAGGTGAGAATCCCGAGCTCATGGCATTATCTTTAGCACTTGCTCCTGCTAAGCGAGAGTTTGCGCAGCCGAAATGTATCCTTCAACGAATAGCTCGAGGTTGTAGACAGGTAGCGGAATTTTCGTACATTACAGAAAAGCTGGGAAGCAAAGAATAAAGCGAAACAAAGGGCAAATTAACAGAGAAAAGTATAAACCATGTGAAGAGGTGAAAAGAGCGGAGCTACTTTCCGAGCGAAAATGAATCGACGAGATGAGATCACTATGACACATGTCATTTCTAGCGCTCGAGACATGAAAATCGCTGAGGAGCGGGCCTGCGGGCCGCTTCTCAGCGAGTCGCGGACCGCGTGTTTGAGACCCCTGCAATGGGCAGACTGCCAACTGTCAAAAATCAGCAGGAAAGTATATTTAAGATGGCATTTCGAATTTATTTGTTGACTTCTGATCACATGTCCACTAGATACCAAGGAGAAGCTGTCGGAGCCATCAGCCAGGCGGGAACGGGCATCAGAACCAGCAGCCAAGCGGTCCTCCAGCTTAGAAAAGTCAGGAACCCTGACGAAAGTGAGTCATGATACCTATTCAGGGGTCACACTGCGATTTCGAGACTTCAGACATATAGTTGTGGGAGAGTCTCAGTCGCTTCCAGAACGAACAACTATAACCTTTTTTCCTTTCTGCATTTTTTTTTTCAACTTTTACTGTCCCGAGCAAGCCTTGCACTGGAGCAAGATTTCGTCCCACTGGTTCTTGAGAATTTTCTTTGTTTTAAGACGATCAATGGTTTTGCCTGAAAATACCTGACCCATTCCGGCAGTAAAATAGAGAATTTTTATTTCAGTGTCCCTTTAATGGAAATCTTGCAAATGAAACAAAGTACTGCAAGTATGTGCTTGTTTAGTAAATCACCCTTTCCGTTTCAGAAAAAAAAAATCTGAGGTGCGGTGTAAAAAGCCAAGTTGAAAAGGAGCTGGTGGAGTATCTGGGTGACTCGGAGGAGGAAAAGGAGGAGGAGAACCCAGAGGTGCTGAGGTTGAGGGCCAAGCTCGACAAGCGGGCAGCAAAGATTCGCCGCCTGAAGGCCGAGAACGAGGGCCTGCTTAAACTAAACCACGAGCTGCAGCTTGCTCTTTGCGCAAAAGTGCTTGGAAAAGGTAAATGCTGTTTACTTAGTTCACAATATGTAGATAGTGATCCTGCATCCATTTCGATTGTACTGGTGTTTTGATGGAAAAGGTAAAAGGATACTCAAATCTAAAAGAAATGCATAAACATTGCCAGGTGTCGAAAGCGCGGCCACATTGGTTAAAAAGAGAAACATGAAAAATATAGAGTGGGCAAGCTCACAAGGCATGAAAGCTTAAAAAAAGAAAGATATGTGCAATCCCCACTTTAGGGGTGTGGTGAAACTTGCTACCATCTCATGCAGCAGATTGCCGACAACTCATGATCATCTTGTACAGTGCTTTTTCTTGACTTTAACACGGCTTTAAGAAAGTTGTCAAGAACAATTCCAATTACACCAGCAGCCAGTGGGTGCGACAGCATTATTTGATTGAATGGGCGCGAATGAGCACCTTTGTATTTTAGACGGCAGCTTGTGCCGCCTGGTCGGTGGTAGCAAAATGCATGAGTGTCGACTACGTATGCAGCCATCTGCTATATGGCACAAGCTCCTGTGTGGTACAGCTGTGTATACTATTGCAACAATACCGAATGGTTTGTAAAGTTTGTGTATGCTGTCCTTCTCGATGCCAAACTTCATATCATGCTTATTTGGTAATTCTCGAAATTTATGGACAATCAGGTCTAAACAATGTCTGGGACTCTAGGTTTATTCAGTGTTTGAGTTATACCGCTGTCACACGGGAAAAATAATGTCATTACCAGCAAATGACATTCGGCCTGAAGTGTCTTTCGTTTGCTGCCATACGGCAGTATTTAATGACATTTACTGGAAATGGCATTCACTACTGATTGAGTTATGCCGAACTCATTCGCAGTCACTTTCATGCAAACTGTGTTATCTCGACAGCAGAGACACTGTAGGGCGCAGTAATCTGAGATAATAATAACAAAAGCTTTTAGCCTTTCCACTTTGGTGAAGAAGGAAGACCAGCGGAGTTGTACTATGGTGGGAATGAAGTAATGGCCGGCCACAAGTCAGCAAGCCAGAGTGGAAAGGCTCGAAAGGTTGCATCAACTATGAGTGACGGCGGCAAGCAGACAACCGACAAACACAACACTCTGGACAGCTACGCCATCTATGAGTGACGGCGGCAACCAGAGTTTTGTGTTAACATTTCTTTTGCGGTGGACACGATCCTGGGGAAACTAGCCCTATAACAGCTCCGCTGTAAAAGGTACAAATTACGAGTTATTCAGACATATGTTAGTAGATATGCATTTTTTTTTCTTTTTTTAACTAAAAGACAGTAGAGTGCAGAATGTAAAATAATTACTCGTGTTCTCATCCACCAAATTTGGCGCCTGATGGTCGGCCATGTTAGTTTTAAGTCGACAACGGCGGTTTCGGCGTTTTGATCACGTTTTGGCTATGGATCTCCCCGCTTCAATGCGAGCTGCTTCTGAGGCAGAAAAACCAAATCAGAAAGCCCACTGGTCTGCAGCTGAGACGTTTGCCCTCGTAAGAGCAGGGGAAGAACACTTGTAAGACTTGAGCCACCGCAAATGAGCACGCGAGCAAACAGTGCTGAACGTTTTGCAACATGTTTTGCAGCTCCCACTTTTAATTTGTGTCTCTGCAGTTCTGTGCGATCTTTCGCACGTAGACACATTAGTACGGTTGCCAGAAGTCAAGCACATGCAAAATCACCAGGTTCACGCTCTAATAACAGCCGTGGCACCACAGGGGCTATGTTGCTACATCGCAATGTAGCTTCGGCTTCGAATTGCTGCGTTGGTGTCCAATCCGGAACCTACAATAATGCTAATAATATAACAAAGTAATACCATCCAGCGTAAGATCTGCTTATTATTGTGTTTAAATAATCTAGGAGACAGTTCCAAGCTATAGACCAGGGGTTCTCAAACTGGGTTCCGAGAGCTAGTCTCATGGGTTTCGCAAACACCTAAATTTGACCTTCCTGCCCCTCCGTCCCCCACGCCGTGGTCTGCGCGGCAGGATCATGCAAAGCGCCTTCATCTCACTTTGTACTAACATTGCGAATGATATGGTGGCAATATATGAGAAGCAAGCGAAATTGCCTACGATTGTGCTTCTGTTGCTTCTTGGACGGCAAAAATTTGAGGCAGTTTTTTTTGGTTTCCTGGGGTTCCGTGGGACCAAAAGGTTAGAGAACCCTGCTAAATGTTTAAGAACCCTGCTACAGGCAGTGCTTTTTTTCTAAAATATAATAATGTAATAGTTTGCTACAATGACTGGTGTTCAATCATCATCATGGAGTCTAATGACGTTAAACATGTATGTGCAGCACGGTCTGCAAGAATAATGACATTCGCTGAAAATGACATTGATTTCCCTGTGTGCCAGGGGTATTGCTGACATACCGAAAGGTTACAACAATTGTGAGGATGGCTGTTGTTGAAGAAACATGTACCTAGTGTCGTCATTTGTATTGTTTGCAGATGTACAGTTCATGCCCAGGTAGCCGTTATAATTAAGGGAAGCAGCCTAATGGCTGACTTCCCTTAATTTGCCATCCACTGCTGGTTTATTGTATGTGGGACAGACCTCTTTTACTATTGATTCAGGTGACATTATTTGGTCCCAGAAACAGAGTGCATTTATTGCAGATGGGTGAAACTGTTTCGGCATAGCATTATATTGAGCCTTTTAAGCGGGAAGTTTGATCCATGAAAGAGGTCATTAGATGGAACTGATACATATTTCTAGTGTGCTAGGCATGATATTGGATGTTGGATTATTCTTAGCCCTTCCTGAACAAGTGCCAGGGGTCGCTGTAACAGCGGCTGTTCAAGCGGGGATCTCCGTGCCCATTGGAGGTAAGAAACATTTAGTAGTGCTTGTCACCAGCATTGTACTGAGCTTTATGAACAACTGGATTATTTTCAGCCTCACCTAGGCGAGTCCCAGCTCCACCTAGGCCAGTCCCAGTGGCAGACGCGGCCAAAGATGGTAAGAAACATTTAGTAGCGCTTATCACCAGCATTGTGCTGTGAGTTTTATGAACAACTGGATTATTTTCAGCCCCACTTAGGTCAGCCCTAGTAGCAGCTGCGGCCAATGGAGGTAAGAAACATTTAGTAGCACTAATCACCAGCATTGTACTGCAAGTTTTATTAACAACTGGATTATTTTCAGCTCCACCTAGGCCAGTCCCAGCCCCACCTAGCCCAGCCCCAGTGGCAGCTGTGGCCAGTGGAGGTAAGAAACATTTAGCAGCTATTATTTTATCAGGATTGTGCCTTGTGTTTCTAAAAATGAGTTGTTCTCAGCTCTGTGAGTGACGCATGTGATCTTGCTGTTGGCGATCTTGCCTGACGCACGCATTACTTGGGTTTGGGTGCATCTGGCGGGAGCTTGCTACAGACTTGTAAATTTTTAGATAATTAGTCAAACTTTTGGACAAGTGGCAAAGTGAATCGTATTGAATCAGCTTTATATGGTGACGAAATCACTATGAATATGCATCACAGTGTTCATGAAAAGTTCATGCAGTGATGGTTATCTGCATAGTGACGACAAAATTAAGCACATTTTGACATAAAGACTGACAATATCTTTGTGCTTGGTACTGCAGCTTTAGTATGAATGATTTAGTAAGAATCAAGGTTGCTTACTGCTTGAGACCATTTATCACTAAGACAAGCTTTGCGATCGTAGTGTTTATTTGTAAAGCCAGTCTTTAGGTAATTGCAGTCACACGGCCAAAGTTGTTTTCTACGACACAGATTGGCAGAAAGTTACGAACATAAACTTTTTTATTTTTTGCATATTGTTTCATGTCACGATTTGAAATGTGACCATGTGCTTATGCCAGATATGGCTAGCAGCGACCAAAACGAGTCGCAACTAACTGGTCCACCTGACGCAGAAAGAGAGCCGATTGTGCAGAAAATGCGAGTGTGGAAAGCAGCTTCCGAATGCCAACACTCAGCATAATGTCATGCTGAGTTCATAGCGTTTATTCTTCCTTGGGGTTGCTCTGTTTCACCATTCACGCAACGCTTTACGGTTTACCGAGCCTTCTCCATTTCACAAAGGCCACTAGAACAGTCGGGCGTTACAAGGAAGACAAAGAAAACTAAATCGCCTAAAAATAGCATGAGGACCCAAACTGGCGCCTGCGACAATATATCCTCATGATTTGTTGATGTGGAATGCCGCGCTTTCTGCCTACACCCCGATGCGCATGAGTAATGCTGCTAGGGGGCACACCGGATGGCTTGTAGAATTGTTGTATATGGTCCTTTCTAGTGCCAAAATTCATGACTTTATATGAAGTTACTAGCCAGGGCTGCTGGAAACACCTTTCTCTGACCCGACCTTTTTGATCAGTTGCAGGACTACCTGCGGGAGATGCTGGAGGGCCCGACTGCCCACCACGTAAGTTATTTATGGCCCGACCTTTGGGTACTCGGATGTTTATCGTACTAACAGAACCCATACTTTAGTCAACCGGCGGAATCTTCCTGTACCTCCCATTGGGACTCCAATTGCAGACGGCAGCGCCAAATCTCCCCTAACGGGCGTTGGGTTTCTCCAAAAGGAATAAGAAAAAGACAAAACAATACGCGTGCTGTCGTCATGGCAACCGCTTGGTTATGGGGGAGGGTGTGAGAAGTGTTGTGCCTCCTCTACCTCTCTTTCAGCCTCGGCGACAAAAGGATGCAAGTTCGTTCGGAGTTCGAAGCAGCCTCCGAACTCCAAACGAATTTGCATCCTATCTTGTTCTTCTACAAAACAATGTAATCTTTTGTAGAAAAAAAAAAAAGTGTGCGTTTTTTGCGAATGTCTGACGCTTCCGAAACGATTGCACTTGACTTTGCGTCGTTCGATTGAGATCGGCTTGGCAGCAGTGCATGTTCAGTGACAGCCACTTCTCATTAAATCGTCAATCAATGGATGCAGAGTGCGCCCAGCCGGTGCTGTTTCGCGGCTTAAGATGTGCGCACATCGCCATTCTGAGCACAAGTCCAAACTTCTTTTGCAAGTTCTTTTTTTATTAGGCACGCTTTTTATACAGAAAAAAATTTTTACTGCACGGCACAACAAAGTAACAAAATCTACACAAAACTACTATTCAAGTATTCACAGACTTGCAATCACCCATTTAACTTTGCAGTAGTTAGCGACTGTGATTCGATCGCCACGGTCTCTCGCAGGTTCCTTCTGCAGCGCCAGCTGCTCCACGCACATGCTAGCGAGCTGCGGTGCTCTAACACCGATATTGCCTACACCGCTCATTTTAAGATAAATGCCCTGTCCCTTCTGACCTTCTACAATAACTCTACCATAATGAAACATGCAGCAGCAAGTTTTCGGCAATCCGAAACTGTATAATCAAAAGTATAGCAGCCCGTCTTTACCTTTCGTCATTCGGGAACCCAAAGGACTTGGCAGAGCTGTTGCCACTGGAATTAGAGCACCACTGAGTCGAGCAATAGACAAGGTTCCGTTTGCTCGGTGTACTGGTAGAAGAAATAGACCGATAACCAACAGGTCTATTTTAGACCTGTTGTATGCCTTCACCATCCTCGCCTTGTTCTTAAGAATGGTTATAAAGCGTGTGCATCTCAAAACGGCCCAAACTACTGTGGCGCAACGACAAGAACCCCTCCTGATCAGTGACGCAGATCAGGAACTCTACGCGAGATGACAGTGGCGCCTTTGGTAAGCGTGCCAAAGCTAAAAAAACAAAGTGCACAGACTAGAAAAAAAGGAAACAAAACAACAGACGTGTGCCATGTTCGTTTTTGCTGCTGGATAAGGATGCCAACTTGTGCCGCCTAGCAACTAAAAAGTAAACCTGGAAGACCAAATCGGCCGGGCAGGCAAGCGCGAGCGCTCTTATTATCGGATTATATTTTACAGCGGCGCTGTTAAGGGCTTGGTTCCCGAGGATCGTGTCCGGTACAAAACACTTGTCGACAAAAACGCCTCTGGACAGCTACTGCCATCTATAAGCGACGGCGGCAAGCACACAACCAGTCTGGTGGCCGCCGTCGCTGGTAGATGGCGGCAACCTTTCCAGCTATCATAGAAGAATGGATTGTTGGGCGGCGCGTTGGTGGGAATTCATCGTAGAAAACAGTGCGAAAACAGACGACGACAAAGAAGAAGCACACGTAACGAGCGCAGCGCTCGTCACATGTGTTTCTTTGTCCTCGTCTGTTTAGCACACTGTTTCCTACGCTCTTGTCAGTTTCGGTTTGGACTTACGATGGGTCAGCCGCGTGCCCTTTTGGGGAAAGAAGACTGGCTGCGGAAAGAGCGGCGACGTACGCAGCAGTGCGAATGGGTCCGTAACCACCGCAAAGCCGCTGTCGCCTCGACTTCACTACGTCGAGCGCTTCAGATTCCCTTGCCAAAGAAGAGCACATCGCTTGCCTGGAAAGCCGCCGCCGAGAACAAAACCAGCGATGTAAAGGGCGTGGGCAGGCCAACACCACGGATGACGATCGTGCCACGGAGGCCAAACGCAAGTGCGAGGCCCGGCGACGACTGCACTCCACGCCGGCAAAACAGTTGCCGGGCGCGACGGTGATGTTCCAGAGGGAGTCCGTGGATTACCCGTCTGGCGTCTCGTGCACCGTGTGCGACCTAAAGCTCCTTCATGTTTCGAAAGTAGCGCAAGGTGCATCGATACACGAGGCACGTGCAGCCCTTGGGAAGATCATGGTGGCACAGCGCAGCACTGAGTTAGATTTCAAACGCCATGAATTTCTCAGAAGTGGGTGCGGCACATGCCTCGAGCATTTCTGCAACAATGAATGGCGCCACTTTTCCCAGGATAGACAGGCTTTAGTGCAACCGACTCTGGGTCAACGGAGACGTATCCACGATCGGCGGCGTGTCGGACAAGAAGAATCGGGAAACGGGCGCGTGCGCGTTGCAGCAGTGTATCGAGTGCAGCTCCGCTGGTCTTCCCTCTTCACGAGAGTGGAAAGGCTGAACGTTTTTCATGAAAAGTTACGGAACCATGGAAATATTGCAAATTATACATATATATGTATATAATTATACAAATTTCAAACCAACCAAGATGAATTATCGGGGTTCTACTAGATGTTTTACTGCGTGTTCCACTAGTGAAGCTCTTGCAAAGAGTTTCTTCAAGCTCCTAGAGTATAGAAAAATCTGAATACTAACATGATCCTGTTTGCATTTGTATTAATGTTCAAATTCAAAAGCTTTACACTGTCATAACTTTAGTTAATGTGAAATTGTTTTTCAGTTGCTGAGGTGGACGGCCTTGCTAAGAACGAGATCGTGGATCACACCATCGGCCTCCAAAATGAGGAAGAAATGGTAAAATAAAAATTTTTTCGCAGTTCCATGCAATGTATGGTATACCGTATAATCGCGTGTCAGGGCCGCACCCCCATATTTAGAACAAAGCATTGCAAAAAAAAAAAGAATTACTGAAATTATTTGCGTATGCACCGCACCCCCTTGTTTTTGAGGCGTGCCGACTGTAATGCCACGTTTTCTATGAATTTGTATCGCTAGGTGGCACTAGCCTCTGCCGGAGCACATAGCAGCACGTGTCCGCATCTCTGATATCTGCTCTCCACTCATCCGTATCACCGTATGGCATAATGGCTGTCGACCTCGATCATGGTCGGCGGCACAAATGGGATGCGTTTGTGTTGCAGCAAGCCGTTGAGAAAAGATAAAGGATATGTCAGGTTCCGTGGCAAGCGCGAGGAATGGGGATTTAGCGGGCTCGGCTCGCGCGTGCACTAAGTTTTCGAACACCACTGTATGCTTTGCGGAGGTTTCCTTTTGTTTTTCGATTTGTGTCAAAGTGTCGCAATTTGTCTGCCTTTTCGCGCAATCTGAGAGCTATGGGCAAGTACCACTTCAACAGTCATACGGGATTGAAGTCAAAAGTTGCCGCGCATGCTATCAAGTACGGGAAAAAAAAAAAAGATGCGTATTGCGCAGTATGTAAACTAATTAAATCCGACTGACGATTGAGTTTGAATTCCGGAGTGAAGGCGTTTCTGACCAGTGCAGCCGAGTGTGCTCATGTACGTTCATTTCGGAATGTGGATACAGATATTTTTTTATTTTTTTTAATCCGTGTATGGGGCTGCACATAGAAAATTTGCCCTCAAACCGGGAAAAAATAGTGCGGCCCTTACACGAGTTAATGCGGTACATTAAAAGAACAGGGTGGTGTACGCACAGTAGATTGAATTGATTGCTACCATAAGCCTTTAAAACATTATTGTAGCCAGGCTCTTAATTGTAGTTATAGCCAGGGCCTGCAAATGTTTTATTGTCACGCTCACATGATGCAACTAGGGGTTACATACCTGTTTGATGCAAGTGACATGAAGCTTTGTGGGCTCATCAACTTTGCAGATGCCCATGTGGATGAGAATTTAAAGGTAGTACTGTTTTAAATTTAAAGGCCTAAATTTTATACCTGTAATTATTTAGTGCTTTTTAGATGCACCTTCTTGGAGAATACAGGACTACTTTGTGTCAACTCGACTGGTATGTGTAAAACTTTCTCGGTTTTGTTTATTGCAGATCCATGCTGGGCAAGGAGTCTACATCAATCAAGAATCCTGGATGGAGATGCAGAAAGCGGAGAGCGACTCTATGTTTTGTAAAATCACGGCCTCTTCCATTTGGCCAGTGGAAGTGCTTTTAGAGAAGTCAGTGACCGGCACCCTCTCAAACAAAGCAAAAGCAGCGGGGCAAGAAAAAGCATTTGCCCCACTTACTCCGCACAAGGTGCAGGCTCTCTCAGGTAAGCAAGCATTTTGTTTAAAATCTTGATACAATCCTCGCGGGGTCGCGTAAAATATTTCATGCTAAATTCGTATCAACAAAAGCGAAATGAAATTTATATTTTGAAGCACAAGGAATGCATTACCATGGATTTATTTATGGCAGAAAATATCTTGTATGTAATTTGCACGATTCTAACATGCCCCCGATAGTAACACACAGTTATATTCAACCCATGAATATTAAAAAAATTGGTGCCGATTCTACTGCGCAGATAAAATATGACGGCTGAACAACATACACCTCATAGAAAGCATGTTATCAAACTCACATACTCGAAAGTGCCCACACTGGGTGCTATTGAAGCCCTACATCGAACACTCTCGATATTCGGTTCCTTTGTCTTTCCAACCAAGCTCGCATGTCACCGTGGACCACACCGAAGACACGACCAACACCACTCGGTTTTCTCTTTTTGCCAGTGCGATCACTTTTTTTAGAGGTAACCTTAAAGTAAAATTGGTTTTGCTTTTCCAAGGTTGAACCACGATTCCATAAGATCGCAAAAACAAAACAGCGAATTTGGATTCAGATTGGATTTGATTTGAAGCATGTGTTGATGGTGATGGGGCTGGCCACTTTGCACAGTTCTTTTAGCATTTTGTTTAGTTTTAGTTTTTGTGTCCGATTGTAAAACGCATTTAATTTTGAGCTCACGTCTTTGAGTAAACAAAGTGCGGCTGATCCCTGGCAGCAGCCGGCAATCAGCTGCCCGGAGCCTTGGGAGCTTACAGTCACCGATTGTGGCCTCCTTACCATTATCAGATGCGGGGCATGCATTCATATCAGTGGTTGCAGCATGTCGAGGTATTTGGAATACCAGAAAATTTTCACTTTGTATGCATTGCGCTTTGACCGGGGAATTTGTGAATTCATTTCATTCTGAAATTCATACCAATTAGTATCACCGAGATTTTACTCTAGTAGGTTGTCCGCTAACACCCGGACGTGTGACCTGCCAAGAATGAAAGTCAAACATAACAGATAATAACCGTAAATAATAATTGCACATTTTTATTTTGAAAAGATGGTTTTATTTTTCGTTCTAAGCCGCAAACTCGAGCAAGCGCTCGAAGAGAAGTCAACGGAGTGTGCGATGCGTCGTGGGTTATCCGGCAAAGTTGCGGTTCGGTTGCATGGTGGTGTAAACATGCTACAGCCTAGCCATTTGAAACACCTTTGGGCTTTGCATGGACCAACGTGGACTAAGCCAACTAAGCGCCCACGTGTGAGATAAGTCATGTCTAGGTCATCGTGTTCAGGGCGGGATTACTCCAACAGTTGAGTTACCTCCAAAGAGCGGCGCTGCTCCGATGTGTAGTGCAGCTACGTAGCGGTTTCTGTTATGTCACCACTATGTCACAAGATCTCTAACCTTGCTAGATTACTTCCCAACGAAGCTTTGGGGGCATCCACCAGGTGCACATTGAAAGACTGTTTAACTAGCTTTAAATTTAGTTTTCTCGTGCCTTTCAACGAAAGATTGTTGTTTTCAAGGTGATACTGCAACTTAGCCCATATCCAAGCTAGCAAATGAGCTCTGGAATTCCGTTTCCGTGCCCCTTTAAGATTTACTCTAAGCTACATTCTGGACTTTGTGTAACTTCTTGTGCAAGCACATTTTTTCGAAAAGCACCAATTAATTCCTAGAGGAATTTAACTTCGGCATTATGAAAACTTGTTTGTTTTGCTTTATCTACTTATTTTTCTTAGTGGGGACACATGCATCAGATTAAAATTCAAAGCAGCATGTTGAACTAAAAGAGAAATGTGCAAAAATGCAGGAACAAACATTCCCTTGTTTTTAATAGCCTACGCTACGAAAGGTATTCACTTATATTGGCTATTAGTTTCAGGGAAGAAAAGCAACATAAACTGTTCCTCTTAGCATTTGCATTTAATTTTCTTATGGTCATAATCGACTTGCTGACATGTATATTCGTGGTGTGAAATGCACTTTTTATGATGTATGCCAACTGTAGGGGGTAAATGTTCTGAACTCATTTAAACCATCAGTTTCTCTTTTTTGTTCAAGTGACTCCGAACCTAAGGATTGCTTTGTTATGGAGATCTCAGATTGTTATATTGGTTAAGTAAAGAAATAATGATTTGGAGTCTTTTAGAAGGTTAAGCAAAAACAAGCAGCTATAATATCCTGAGGGTAACCTAACTTAAAATTTAAAGTTAGGTGAACATATAAGGTAGACTACCTCATAGAGTGCTACCAAAAAGGGTTATAAATATTGTAGCCAGGCCATGAATGGACGATCTTTTAAGGAATGTGAAAGATTGTTTTTATATAGAACTGCACTGGTTGTTTCTGCTGTTCATAATTCTATTTTTAAATTCTGTGGCCTGTCTAAGCTGTTACCACAGCGAGAGATGAGGACCAAATGTAAGCAGTTTTCAGTGTTCATTGTCTACTTATCTCCAGTTGCAGCTCCTGTTTCTTACAAAGTCACTGGCCTAGCAGTGAGATTTATAGACATGGGTTACCTGTTTTGTGCTTAAAAGAATCTAACGAAAGCCAGGGTGGGAGTGGAACATGCATCAGGATGCTGCGGTACTTTTGCTTTTATGGTAATCTCTGAACTGTCTAAATTCTAAGGTGCCAGCTGCCAGTTAACTGCTTCCATTGAGACTAATTTACACTTGGTCTTCTTAAACTATGACCCTCCAGCCTGTGTGTATGGTGTTCTACAATGTTTTAAAGGGATGCTGAACAAAAATCTGGATTCCGCAAAACACGGCGGCAAAAGCGTGCAACAGGATGCTACGAACACCAAAACATCACTCAGACAGAGATATCTCGAATGGATGACCGTATTTAAAAAAAAAAAGAGGCGCATTTGACAGATATGTTTACGTCTTGTTTTTCCAAGAAAGAGAGGGAATGGCCTCGCGTCTTCTCCGCCTCGCCGCTTTGAGGGGGCAAAGCGAAGAAAGGAGGAAACGAGATATCTTCACATCACGTGCCTCGTCGGCCTCATTCAATCTCAACCTCTTTTTCTAAAAATACGGCCATCCATTCGAAATGTTGCCTTACTAGTAGTGTTGTAGGGATTGTAGCGTCCCGCCTACAGCTCCTGCTCTGTATTCTGAAGTCCAAATTTTGGTTCAAAATTCCTTTAGGTCTGAGCACTGCAAAGAATTATTACCCTGGATTTTCCATATTCCAGGCTGCTTTTGGCTATACCTAAGGGAGAGGGGGTACCGCCAGGCTGAAAGGGCAGCCCGGCACCAGAAGATGCGCCGGTACCTGTCCGAAAAGCTGTCGGATCTGAGGAGAAATCGCTAAAAAGGTATGTGCTTGTATAGTATAACTTTCTTAATTAAGTAACATACTATTTTGGGTCTCAAGTTTACAAGCAATTATTTTAAATTATGGTATAGATAAATTATTTAGAGGTTAATATATCTCTAAATATTTATGCAAACAACTTTAAAGTAGTGTGTTGATCAGCTGACCACTTGAAAAGGCTGTGGGTTGCTTGATTGCTATTGCTACTCCG